TGCGTGCGGTAACCATGTGTTTGCAGTGATGGCACTTATTTAACAATAATAAATAAAATGCCAAACATTTATCTTTAATTTGCAAGTGATTTGATTAAAATATCTTTTGTAGTTTTTGAGTAATAAAAAAATTAAAACCTGCGCCCATGGCCGAAGACACTGTATATAACATCCCTTCTATTATGACAATCATTTCCACTCAATATTGATATTTCCTAACATTATATTTTTAAAAAATAGATTTTTAAAGTAATGATTTTCCAATACATTATATTAAATTTATTCTAGTTAAATTTCATTTTACATGTAATATTTTCTCAAACTTACATTAAACTATTTATTAATCATTTATTTTAATTTTATCCTAATGTAATTTTCTAATCTCAGGAAACATTTTCTAACACAAAGAATTTCAATACAATGTTCACAAAAATTGATTGTATTTTCAGAATTGATTTATTGAGGAAGACGAGAGAGAGAGAGAGAGAGAGAGAGAGAGAGAGAGCTAGTGTTAGATTAATAAATCAATACATTAAAAGCCATAACCAATAGATTGTTGTATTGATTGATTAGATGAGGGAAACATCTCACGAAAATTTGGTTCGTTTTAACGGCTGCTGTATTGACGGAACGGTCGCTATTCTGAGCGAATTTTGCCCAAAGGGTTCACTGAAGGACCTGTTGGCCAACAGTACTCTGAACCTGGACTGGCTCTTCAGATATTCACTAATTACTGATATCATATCCGGAATGTATTATTTGCATAATTCAGAGCACGTATATCACGGAAGACTCAAATCAAGCAATTGTTTGGTTGACTCGAGATTTTGCGTAAAACTCACTGATTTTGGTCTCAGAAAATTCAAAGAAGAAGCCGGTTATCAGACAACCGGCGAATCGGAATTAATAATACCTGAAAACTCTTCGACCATTAATTTGAATGATAGAGTGAAAGGCAAATGTAGAGCCGATTCGTTGTGCGAATTTAATATCGGTCTCCTATATATGGCTCCCGAACTCCTTTGTAAAAGTCAGTGCACGGATGCAAAGAAGTGTAAATTTCATGATTATATCAGTGGATATTATGGCACTCAAAAGGCTGATATTTACAGGTTTTTTAATCAATTCTGTTATTACTTTATTTCTTATAATGGTTTTAAATCTATTGACAATATTCTCACTTCAATCTATTATTATTTTCATATTGTGTTTTTGGTATGAATTCTCGGAAAATACACAATAGTTTTGGAATTATTTTACAAGAAATCATTCTCAGAGAACAGCCATTCTTTCCTCATTACATGAATATGGAGATCAAAGGTATGACAAATCATACATACAGTACTGTATATACTTTATATACCCGTCTCTACCGATGTTCCCATTCTTTATACATTTATTGATTTTAAAACCAATGAAAAGCAATTGAATGTGAGGTTTGAAATGAATGGACCATTTTTTGTGATAGACATTGTCAAAGAAGTGAAGTCATCTAATCTGAGACCTTGCGTTCCCATCGATTCGTGTGACGAGAGATTGCATTCACTTATGAAGAATTGTTGGTCTTCTGAATTGGATATAAGACCGGATTTCAATTCATTGAAACACGAGATCAGAGGTATAATGAAGTCGATGGGCGTCGGAGGCATATCAGCGGCTCAGTCGACGCTCACTGAGAATCTATTGGCTCGTATGGAACAGTACGCCAACGAATTGGAGTCTATAGTCGAGTGCAGAACCCATGAACTCGCAGAGGAAAAGAAGAGGACTGAAGAACTACTTTACCAGATATTACCAAAGTATTCAAATGCCTTCAATTTAGTGTTTTTCCTAATTTATATCTATATTAACAATAAAGACCAGTTGCCGACCAACTCAAGAGCGGGCATATGTTTGAACCTAATTTCTATGATTCGGTGACAATATATTTTAGTGATATCGTCGGCTTCACGTGTATGTGCTCTCAGAGCACTCCAATGCAGGGTTTGTTATATATTGACATTTTGACAATAATTGACATTTTCTATATCAACAACATTTATAATTTATATCATGAATATGAAACTCCAAAAACATGCACATTCAGTGGTCGACTTTCTAAATGATTTGTACACATGCTTTGACACTATTATTGGTAGTTATGATGTCTATAAGGTATAAATATGTCATTAATTAATTTAATGATTTACTAATATATAAATATGTGTTTTTTATGATATAAATAATTACGTGGTTGAGGTGGAGACAATAGGTGATGCATATATGGTAGTGTCGGGGTTACCGGAGCGGAATGGTGTAGAGCACGCCCGACAAATTGCTAAGATGTCACTTAAAATTAGAGATAACGTCCAGAACTTTGTAGTTCGACATAAGCCTAATGAGAAATTGCAGCTTAGAATCGGAATTCACACCGGTATTACTCCAACACCCATTAATTACTCGCATACATGCATTATAATCCACTATTGATCTCATTAATAGGGCCGACCTGTGCCGGAGTTGTCGGTTTGTATTTATCTTACTTTTAGTTTGTGTTTTTCTTTTAAATGATAACTTTGTAAACATATATAAAATATATATTTACATCAATTCACTATTAGGTAATATAAGACCTCGATTCTGTCTGTTTGGAGATGCGGTCAGTATTTTGCATTTTATTATAATAACAATATTTAATATACATTAAATGTTGATAACAATCTATGTCTATATGAAGATTAAAAAAATTAATTTCATGGTTTTATTTGTTGTGTGACTTCAGGTGAATACTGCTTCCCGAATGGAGAGCAATGGAGAGCGTAAGTGGTATTTATGTGATATATATGTTTAGTTGATGTGAATTGATATTAATAGTGAACTGCGATATTGAGCTCATATTTAATGAAATTGTTGTAAATGTTGGTGTATTTAGCGCTTAAGATTCATATAAGTCCGTCAACGAAGTCTGTGTTAGACTTATTCGGAACCTTCGTATTGGAGGCGAGAGGAGACATACCTATCAAAGGCAAGGGAACGATGAAAACCTATTGGCTTATCGAAGAAAAGCCTCTCAACTAAAATCACTTATATTCCTGTGATCTTTATATACTCTTCACATATCACACAATTTACCGCTTATTTAAACTCAATTACTTCAATAAACACTCCATTTCTGTCATCTATTCATAAATCTGTTTAGTTTTTCAATCAATTCATTTAAGAAATGATATATTGTATCACTTTATATACGCTTATATACAGTACATCTCTCTATGCTTTCAGAATATGATATTTAAAAACATAATCAAATGTTAAGAATATTTTACATAATTTGCAAGTAATTGCTATGCGAGATACAGCCAAACCACTGTTATAATCAACTCAATTGTCTGCGAGAAATAAGTGATTAAGATGGTTCTGTGACTACAATGATCTTTCATTAAATCTTAAGACATAATTAAATACTAATACAGATACTTTTTAGTTTAATTTCAAAAATCAAAGTAAATATACAACGGGCCAGAAAATAAAGTTATTATAACGAGTAGTTGATTATAATGGGTATCATTTAACATTACATCCTATGGAAGTGTCTATGGGGTTTGAGAATGGGGTGACTAAATTTATAATGGTGATTTAACTATCATGTGGGTTGATTATAACGGTGGTTTGATTCGGTATTCGATTATAACGGTATTTAACGTATTCTTACAATGTATTATTAGGTTTATATTTATAATAATCTAAGCATTTTAAAACAAATTTTATTCTTAAATTAATGACAATATGTTAAACATACAATATATACAATAGATATAATTTACATTACAGTTAATTAAATATTACAGAATAGGGTATGAGTTTCCTAACAATATTGTGCTTTAACTGAATATTCCTTCAAAAGTGTGGCTTTTAAATGACAAACAAGTGTTCATACAATGAATGTGTTGTTTGTATTAAAAACAGTGACTTTATCAGTGACTTTGGCATAAAATACCTTGGTATATTGAAGCGTTCAAAACAATTTATAATCTAATTTCAAACTCACTAAAGTCAACATAAATCTATCAATACATATACAGTACATATTCATTCATTATTCAATTAATGTTTACTTTATAAAACTTTTAGTTCATTACAAAGTTTTGTATTATGAAAATAATGTGATCTTTAAATTTATGAATGATCTCAAACATGCATTACATCAATAAATTATTTCATCAATAATTGATTAAACGGTTATTGTTTCACATTCTAGTCCTAAATGGGTATAAGAATTGTTTTTCTTATACGGAATCCGTATTACGGATATAGTATACGGAAATGTCATGAAATATTACACGCAATATCAAGATATACGCTGTATTCAAACGTTTACAAATGCAGTATTAAAATTTATTACATTTATTTGTTTTTTATAGTTTATTTAATATCACAATTCTATCATTCATTTAGATTTATTCAACACAAACCAAATCATATGCAATAAAATATTTATAAAATGAGGCCAAAACTTACACATTGATCGTATCTATACATCAATGCTATTATAAATTAGATAAATTTGTAATTGAATTTTAAAAATAACCCTTTATTTAAATTAATTCTTCAAAAATATATAATATTTAAAATATTTGAAAACATAACAAATGTTAGCGTAATTGTGGTTATTGTGGACATAATTGAATCGATGGTAAAATAATTAAATTCAAAGATCTTTGAATTCATTGAGCCATAAAAAGGAGTCAGAACTTTGATCTAAATATTTGTATTAATTATTGATAAGTGGAATACTTAACATAAACATGTAAATTAAACATACTTTTGTATTCAAGGCCCACGTAATCATCATATACTCGACTAATCTGTTTGAGAGCATAGCTGTGATTGATCTCTCCCTCACCGACGGGACAGTCTCTGTTCGGCACCTGAGATATCTGGACGTGTCCTATATATGGCTTCAAATCCTGTCATTGCAATCAAAACATTGATATTAATTGAATAAATCGATTGAATTCAATGGCAATCAATTACATGGATATAATGAGTTAGGTTTCCGTGAAGTCTCTGCAAGTGATAGGTATCGAGCATTAGCTTAACATTCGGTTTATTGATCTCTTGGACCAATTGTTTGGCCAAATCGTATGAACGCAAGTAATAGTTCGGCCGAATAGAGAGCGGCTCTAAAACACAGGTCACACCAAACGGTTCCAGATATTGAGCGCTCATCGATATTAAGTCTCGCATTTGAGGACTAATACCAATTAAATGGTTAAACAACAGATCAATATATCTTATGATTAAAACAATTAGTGTTTTCAATACATTTCGGAATCACTCTTAATGTCCTTTAAAAGCAAATGAACTTTCGATACATTGAGTGCTTTGGCGTAATCGGCAGTATCTTTGAGCACTTGTTCCAACTGTTCTCTGGTCGGCATCACATCATTGAATTGATCCCAAAGGGGACGACTGTTTATGAGAACCCATTTGAGTGTCGGAACTCTTGTCAATAGTTGTCTCCATTCTTCGAGAGAGCATTGGTATGGATTCTGGGCTTCGATGGCATCAAAACGGAAATCACTTCTAAATTGTTTGCAACAATTCATACATTATTTACACCAATCATAACAAACAATGATATTGTAAACAAACCTTTTGACCACTTCTTCGTATTTGTTGATATGGTTTGGTATGTCTTCAAAAAGAGACGATATATTGGCGGCGAAACGCATCGTCCGTTTGGGTAATGGATCCGCAAGTGATCTGCTATTCAAATGAATCAATGATTTAAAAGATTTTAAATACAATAAACTCATTGATTATGAAGTTATCAATAGTATTGATTCAATACATCTAATCTCTCATGACTTTCACCAAAACAGATGTTTACAAACCCTTCAACTCATGTCTTCGGTGTCGTCCTCTCAATGTCACCATTAGTTCATGTCTTCACACATATGCCATGCAATCAGTGCTAAAGAGTTGATTCCAGTGACCGCTGAAGACATTAATTCAAATCAAATCTCAAAAAATAGTTTGAATTGAGTTTTGAAATAAAGTAAAAGTTTTTTGTCGTAATTGTTGTGAGGAATGGAAGTAATGATTGTCTTGTTTTGCAAACAATTGTGAAGACATTGTCTTCAGACCATTGACTGTCATGTCGTGCGAGTGTCGGCCGAAGAACCTGAAGAAACTGTTATGCATTGAATACCCGGGTTTTGTGGACAATGTGTCGGCAATGATGACCACTTTGGGCGGCGTTTCTGGCGTTGAGAACACATTGAATAATCCAAACGATAGGTTAGAACTGAAGTTCAGACCCGAAGACAAGTACAGTCACCCGACTTTCGGCGATAGAGTGGCCACTAATAGTCTGTTCGTGAAGTTTATACGAAGAACCAAAAGCGACGGAACCGTTGAATACGAGGCCAAACTGTTGGGAATCATTGAAACCACGTATCGGTTCAAGTCTTTGGCGGACTTCCAGTACCTGCCGATGACCAGAATGATCGACGAGACCGAAGACACTCTGCGCTACTTCTCGATCATCGACCGACTCATACCTCGGGATCCGTTTAACGTGGAGAAGACAGACTTCGCTAAACGAAAGTTCGACACAAAGACACCGCTCTTTGTTTTGCCGACACTTTTCTCCCGATTTGACTCATCGATGGATTACTTCTTCCGAAACGACACAAAACACAGAGACGTAAACCTTCGCAAAGAACTCGAGAGACAAGAAATGCTATCCATTATCGGCAGAACACGCAAATCGAGGAGTGTTTTGGCCACTCTTCTCAGTTGGTCTGATCCTATACCTCACGAACCGACTGCACAAGTGGTCGAGTCCTTGACTGAAGTGTCGTCTAATGACCCGCTATTGGAGCGATTGGTGAAGTGTTTCGATGAGCGGCCCGTTTGGTCGCGGAATGCATTGGTTGGACGCCTGGCCTGTGAAAGGGTTGACATTAAATTATTACTTCCGAAGATTGCCTATTACTTCACGAACGGACCCTTTCGTTGCCTATGGATTAGGTTTGGATTCGATCCCAAGTCTCGCAAAGAATCCAAGATTTATCAAACGTTAGACTTTAGAGTAAAACAAGTGTACGCGAAGAATATGAGTTCCACTCGGATTAGAGCCAAACGAAGTATATATCAGTATCAGTTGCCACTCAAGAAGAAGGATTCCGATAAACTCAAGTCCAAACAGTCGACCATCTCTTCAGACCTATTCATCGCCGGCTCTTCTAAAGAACGAGTGGAACAAACGCTCGAAGAAAGTCAACTAAAAGGTGACAAACTGTTGGCCAGTTATACGTTTGTTCCGGGATTGATGCCCGCATACAGACAACTCTTCTACCAGTTGTGTGACATTCAAGTGCCAGAAGTCCAACAACTCCTTCACTCCAATGACGGCAACGAACCCCAAGTTTGCGATGAGAGAGACGGCTGGTGTCCGCGCGGGGCTATCGATAAGATCCGACTCATCATGTCTTCCATTATCGATACAATGCTCTCAAACTCTTCACTCGGGGAACAGACTATTGACGACAGTGTGGCCAACGATGACGATGAAGAAGAGGAGCAGGAATTAGATAACGATAACAACGATGACTTCCAAAATGACGAGTTCTTAGAGTACTTCGGATAATGTTTACCATTATGTGAATCAATGAATAATGCAATTCATTTGTTAATTAATAATTATTGTAATCATTCAAACCATGTGTTTAACTATATTTTCAATCATTTATAATCATTAAAAATATTAATTAATTTACTTTTAAATAAAATAACAATTTTTCTAATCATTGAACAAATGTTTGACAGTATTTATGAATAGTTTTGTCCAGTATTTCATCAAATGTTTACTTTTTGAGCAAAAAATCAATTATGAAATGATTGGTAAAAAACATATGAAATGTTGATTAAAATTGATTTGAATTATTGTTGCGAATGAATGCATGGGTTATGTGTTTAACACATCCACACCACTGAAGACACCACTGAAGACATGCAGACATTTACAGATATGGCATCGTTTGGCTGTCCATCAGATTCTGTCCGTTATATCAACCCTTCATTCAATCAAAACAACACACAATTGAGACAATCGTTGGCCGACAAGACATCAGTGAATATACCAATGATTACACCCGACATGTCTTCGTCTCAATGGATACTCAATCCGTTCTGTTCTTCGGCACCGATGATGACCACAACCATTGCCAACAATATGCCAGACATGACACCACTCTTCGCACCAAACTTTTTGATCCCGAATAATAGCGACACAAATGCCACCAATTTGTCGGTCATGTCTTGGAGGACATCATTGGACGCCGCGTTGGCCTCCGTTTCGGCCAATAATTGCAATACAAATGTCAACAAAGATGTGATTCGTTTCAAGACATGTACTCTTTATGTCCCCAAAGCCAACGCTCCGAAGGCAGTGACCAGAGAGCGACCCCTCGGCTGTCGGACTGTATTTGTCGGCGGTTTACCCGAAAATATTACCGAAGATATTCTTCAGGAAGTGTTTGCGACACTTTGTGGTGATATCTGTGCCATAAGGATGAGTAAGAAGAACTTCTGTCACATAAGGTTTGAAAACGAGTCGTCCGTCGATACGGCCATTGGTTTGTCCGGACATCGGCTTAAGATTAACGATTTGGATGACACGCCAAACACGGGTCGACTGCATATCGACTGCGCTCAGGCCAGAGATGATCAGTACGACTGGGAGTGCAGACAACGGGCCCTTCAGCGGCAGATGAGACACAGCGAACGCCACGAATACGACCGCATGTGTCCGCCCAGCCCTCCGACCGTACACTTCAGCGATCACGAGGCCATACAACTGGTGGACAAATTAAAGTGCGAACAAAGTTTTGTGAAAGCCGTGGATGTGTTGATCCATTGGATGGACAGAGGCGAGTGTCAGAAGCGAAATTCTGGCCAATTTTACGCTATGATTCAAAGCACTAATAATCATATGAAACGACTGCAAAGCGAGACCACTATCTTTGAAAATGAATGGATTAATTCACGACAATTATATCACACGAAGACTCAATCGGTTTTAGTCCAGTGTATGTTTCAATGAGTTTGCAAAACATTTGATCATAAGTTTTGTAATTGAATTAAATTACTTCTTATAGTAAATCAAATTGAAAAAGTGTTTGAGTCGGCGATGAGACAGAAGTCTTGGGATCACTTCACCAAAGCTCAGCGCAAACACATCGACGCCTGGTTTAAGCAAATTAAGGTATTTTAATGGATTCGCTTTCAATTCAATGATCACTTTTATTGATATAAATGATTGCATTGAATAGGAAGTGAAGAGTCAACAGTTGGAAGTGGTTCTCAACAAACGAGAAGAGGACGAAATGGATTTGAGTGATGGCGACGACGACAACGATAGTCCTGTTATCTTCGGACACAACACATCGCTTACCGATTCAATGGATAAAAACGGTTACAACAGTTCTGTAATGAGTTTGCGGGACGAAAACGACGCTTTGCTGTGTCAGGTCGAGTCCTTCAGGAATGAAGCCGTCTTTGTTCACGAAGAGAACCGTCAGGAAAGGGAACGACTCGACAAACAGATCGCTCTTTTGCAACAGGCATTACAGGGAATGCAACACCAATTGATTGCATTGACTCAAAACAAAGTATCCGATGGATCGCAATCACAACTGCAAACAGATTACACCAGAGATCAAATCAGAGATCAAACCAGTGAAACGGCTCTTTATAATAGAGACGAAGCTTTAAATGAGAATAATTTTGGTGCCATTAGTCCCCAAAAGACAGCTCTTCTCATAAGTTTGATATCAATCTATTTCAATGTCCATCCGTACGGCACTACCAGTGATGACATCAGCCGTTATTTATCACTTCAAAGTCATATCCGAGAGACACAACTTCTTTCCACCACTTTTATCGACTCATTTTTAGCACAATATCCACAGCTTTTCACTCCATTAGAGTCGGACTCCAATGGAAGGAAACTTTGGAGGTTTTCGGCGTTTCAAACGTAATCTCTTGATAAGTAGACCCGATCTCAGCATTGAGATCAATGCTCAGCTTTGGTCCACAAAGTTGTCACGAGTCCATCACAACATGTGTTCACTCTTGTTATGCAATGTATGTGTTGTGAGACAATCAGACATTGTTATCAATGATCTCGTCTTAACACTAATGAATCAATTGAAGGCAATTTATTCACTTTTAGTTTAGTGCTATTTCTATTGTTATATTTAGTGTCATAATTATGTTATACTCTTTCCGCAACTTATAACAGCATTAGTAATACAATAGTAAGAATAGTAAGTGATCATGTTGAAGTATTTAATACAAAACGCAGTAATTATATGACTAAAATACGATAACTAATTATTAATTACTAAAACTGCTAGAAGTGATATTTTGAAAAGTTGCGGATTGAGATGTTATACATTACCGTTATGTTATAATTATGTACTATTATTTACGTTGTATTTTAATTGACATTTATTGTCGAAAATGTTTGATGTGTTCCTAGTTAATAAAATAGCTTCTGTATTTTTCTGGATTTTTTTCAACCGTGGGGGGCATAACGATTCTATAAACCATATTTATTAATATCTGAATTGTGGTTAAAAATGAAAGTATTTAACTATTTGGGGTGTTTTTCTTGATTATTATAGTGACTAGTTATGTCTTGAATGGAGGTCACAGAGAGTGCAACATTTCATACTACCCTAAAGTTCCGTGCATTACCCGCACACATGCATAACCCTCACATATAAAATTTTTAAATATTTTAAAATATATTAACTACACATAGATAACCCGCATTCCAGACTATTCCATGTTTCATAGTTTAAATCCTGTTTGTTGTGCTTAATGAAGAAATCATCAAAGACTGGCCTAAAAATGTATGGAGAGGCTTTCCCAACGCTTTTCACACCAAAGAATGAAATGCTTTTGATCTAATATTCGGATTATTTATTGAATAAAATTTTTATTATTAATAATGATTTTGTTATATTTTTATAAAAGATAACCCACATCCCATTTATAACCCGCAAGCAAAAATTTTTCAAAAATTTAACTTTTTCCAATAGATAACCCACGGGTACTACACAGAACTTTAGGGTATTTTCCATGGATTTTACTCTGTCTAATATTATAGGAACTAATCGATAAAATTGAAAAATAACTTTTGTTATCAAATTTCAAACATTTTTCAAAACCGAAGGACAAATATATTTGATATTTTTGATAGGAATCCATAATTTAAAGTCGTTTGAAAAACATATTTCTTTGTTTCTTAAGATTTTTGAAACAAAGTTTTACTTTTTTAGTCAAAATTGACGAACAAAATGGAAAATGTAAATAAAGTTATCAATGATTTTTGCACCAAAGGGTTTGCAGTGATTCCTCACTTCTTGGAGGACAACGAAACGGAACTCTTGAAGAATGAATGCAAAACTCTAATCGACAAAATGGATTCGCGTGAAGAACACGCCGTCTTCTCGACGGGAGACGATCAGAAGGCAAACCATTATTTTATGACTTCTGCCGATAAAATCCGATACTTTTACGAGAAGAATGCCTTCAATGCGAGTGGAGATCTGGTGGTCGACAAGTATTTGTCACTCAACAAAATCGGTCACGCATTGCATTGGTTAAGCCCTGCCTTCAAATCGGTTACATTTAGCCCAAAAGTCAAGCAATTGGTTAAAAATGTCGGATTTGTAGATCCGGTTGTCGTTCAGAGTATGTATATATTCAAGAATCCAGGAATCGGTGGTGAAGTGATTCCACATCAAGACGCGACTTATTTGCATTCAACGCCTGAACCCAAGTGTATTGGATTGTGGTTTGCCTTAGAAGACGCTACGGTTAGTACAGTCACTGTAACATTACTACATTATACCCTTTATACCTCATACCTGTATATACAGTATACGTATTGTTTAACTATTAACTAATTGTTATGAATGACTATTGAAGGAAGAAAACGGTTGCTTAGAATTTATTCCGGGCTCACATACGGACGGACTTCACACTCAATGGATTCGCACTAATGATGAGAACTCGTCGATGAAGTTAACGAAAGAGATGTCAGAGTTTGGGAAGAAAATTGACGAAAAAGCCTTCATTAAAGTTCCCGTCAGTAAAGGATCAGCGGTTCTGATCGATGGACTTGTTGTCCATAAGAGTGATCTCAACCACACTTCGTCTGGTCGTCCGATCTATACCTTTCATATATTCGATCAAAATAACAGAGTTTGGGATCCATTGAATTGGTTGCAACCCTCACCTCAACTACCCTTTCCTTCCCTTTACGACAACTAAACACTTGATCCCAAATCTTGAATCTCTGACCAAAACATTTGCATTTCTTACAAATTTTAATAAAAATTTTAATAAATAATATGTTTTTAATGTATTGAATGAATACAATCGTGAAATAATAAGTTATTTGTTGAACAATTGAAATGGCATTCTTGGCATCACTTCTAGTTCTAATAACTTTGTAGTGATGCCAAGTGTTGACAACATCTCAACACTAACTTTATAGCTGTTGAACGCATGTCTCAAGTGTTGTGTTGTTTTCATTCAAAACTTTCAATGCATTCAACATTAAATTGTATTGAATTTGATTTACAATTAATTCACTTATGATTATAATAGATATGATGTCTAGTAATACACAAACACACGAATCATTAGATTATGATTTGGTTATGAAATTGTTTTTATCAAAAGTTAAAATATCCATAATTTTTGATTATTTGGTAAGTGTTTTACTGAAGAATTGTCTCAATTGTTGCCATCATTTCATTTGGTTCTCATTCTCTCCAAGAGTTCTCACATTCAAGAGTTGTCTTTAGATGACTGCCAACAAAGACTATTGGATGCAACCATTGACCACAAACTGATGGACAAATATCCGGTATCTTTAAAATACAGACAACTGTTTGCCAAACAATTGATACAACTTTTAGAAAGACATGATTTAAGTGTTTGTGAAATGTTGTCCATAAGTAATGCGGCGCTCATTACAGACACTCCTCTTATCAATGATTATAATCTCAATTATTTGAGTTATGTCTTAACCGACGGACAGATCGTTAGTTTACAAGAATCAGACAATTTGGTGATCGACGGGACCACCGGTTTGAGGAGTTGGTCGGCGGCCAGACATTTGGCCGCATTTATTGAATGCAACAAACATTATGTCCACAATAAATATGTCTTAGAATTGGGATCTGGTATTGGATTGACTGGTGTCTGCATTCTTAAGACCTGTTCCCCCGATGTGTTGGCATTCAGTGATCACCATTCAGTTGTCTTACGAGTTCTTCGCAATAACATCGATACCAATAATGTTGGCCTCAATAGTGTTGTCCATAATATCGATTGGAATGATATGAAAAGTGTGGACAACTATTTAGGAGACAACGATCCCGATGTGATCATTGCCGCGGATGTGGTCTTTGATCCCAAAGTGACCGTTCATTTGTGTC